GTCAAGACGACAGGTCCACAGTCTCTTCCAAAACAGTTCCTCCATGTGATGCGATCTAGAGCTTTTTCCTTCAAATGAAAATATATCCTCTTCTGTCCCCAATGTCATCCAGCATTTTCTGACCTCTTCTTCCTCGTCTTCTTGTCACTTCTATCCGCCCATCTATCTTTCCTTCGATAGCTTCTTTTAGAAGGCAGTTTCTGCGTAAAACATGACCAATCCAATTAGCCTTCCGTTTTCTTATTTCATGTAGGATATTCCTCTGCTCACTAACTCTAATTAACACTTCTTCATTTCTCACATAATCGGTCCAACTGATCTTCTCCATTCTTCTCCAACACCACATTTCGAAACTTTCCAGATGTTTCTGATCTACTGACCTAAGTGTCCAGGTTTCAGCCCCATACAGAGCTATGCTCCAAATGTAGCATTTCACTAGTTTCTTTCTCAAATTTAAGTCCAATTTGCTGGTAAAAAGATTCTTCTTGCTAAATGCAGCTTTTGACATGGCAATCCTGGATTTAATTTCACACGTACGCCTTTGCATCATCTGTTAATATTTGTCTCTTTATAGTAACTGAATTCGCGCTCCATTTTCCAAGCTTATTTATGAAATGAATATTTGTTGTTATTATAATGTAGTTTGCAGGATTGCATTGCATTGCATAATTATCACATTCCTTTCCGTGGCTCTTTGTTAATTAATCACTAATTCGGTTTCCTAGTCCTTCTTTTCTATAGCTCTGCAGCCTCCCTGGGCACTGGCCTCTGATTTTTTCAGTTTTATTATCATTTTACAGAGGGTATAACTCCTTGTACGAGTGATCAGCTCGTCGCAAGACCTCTACCTAAACACAGGACAACACAAACACAGAATAAACACATACACACACCAAACATCCATGCTTTGTTTGGGAAAGGAATCCACAATCCAGGCTTCCGAACAAGAGAACACAGTACATGCCTCAGACAGCGCAGCTACTGTGACCGGCTTCCTAGTCTTTTCGTAAATGCTGATTACGCCGTTTGTTGTTGAAGATTTCAAATATTTTCTGTTTGAACTCTCGGAGTCAAGCTTTAAATCCTATAGTGTCAAGCTATCATCTCAGAAATGATAGCTGTTATTTGAAGGGAAAGAAATATAAGTAAAACTCCTTAACTCATACAAATATAATAAACTATTTCCTCTACATCAATCCCGGTAATGTACTTCAGATAACTTACCAACAGCTCTCAATTTGTGTGAAATGTAACACATTCTGTAGACGTCGAAATTTCGATATTTGGCACTTACGACNGTCCAGGGACCACCCTGTTTGTTTAGTTTACGGCTGCAAGTACGAGTCAGCATTATACATTAATAATTTATATATAAAACCACAACTGAAAATACTGTTATCTCGTTATCATCATCTTCGGAAAAACTGCTAATTTTGAGCCATAGCCTTCCTCAAAAGATTTTACTAGATTGCAACCGGTTTTCACTTCTCTGGATTTCGCAACAATATTTTTTTTTACAGAGCAAGGTCGTCAGCCTTGCGTCCCGACTCCAAAGTGGAGGGCTCTTCTACTTGATACCTTCCAAAATATCCGTCACTAACTCCTTTTACGGGAGCACACAAACGTCTTGTAGTATAATATTTTACATTTTCTTCTTTAAATACTTTACAATTTTCAAATAAATGAGTGAAGGTACCCATGTAACGGACCGTGGAGGCCCATAAGTTTGTGAGACGTCGAGGCTCCCACATTTTCTCTAGACAATCTGGTCAGAGATGGCGGTGAGTTCGTCAGACTTACTCGCCGGCCTCACTTTACCCGAGGAAGATTTCTGGTACTCACTTCAGTTAGAGGTTCAGTCGACCCCAGGGCCATAGCGCGGCTGGAAGGATACTACTGTATCACAATTGTTTATTATTTAAAGGAGTATGCTACATGTTTCGAAATTTGTAGGTCATCATCAGGCGAGTTATAAGAAAATGCAAGCTCTTGAATTGAGTTGTTTTAATATGGACTTTACAGTCTGTTATTATTATTAAGATAATAGTTAAGATGCTAGGTATAATTCGCAGTATCACCTTTAACTATTCAACCCTTGGATGCATGTTCATATTATACTTTACTGTAGTTAGATCCAAGGTTGAATACGCTTCAGT